CTACAACCTCTCCTCCTACAACCTGTCCTCCTACAGCCTGTCCTCCTACAACCTGTCCTCCTACAGCCTGTCCTCCTACAGCCTGTCCTCCTACAGCCTGTCCTCCTACAGCCTGTCCTCCTACAACCTGTCCTCCTACAGCCTGTCCTCCTACAGCCTGTCCTCCTACAATCTGTCCTCCTACAGCCTGTCCTCCTACAGCCTGTCCTCCTACAGCCTGTCCTCCTACAACCTGTCCTCCTACAGCCTGTCCTCCTACAGCCTGTCCTCCTACAGCCTGTCCTCCTACAGCCTGTCCTCCTACAGCCTGTCCTCCTACAACCTCTCCTCCTACAATCTGTCCTCCTACAACCTCTCCTCCTACAACCTGTCCTCCTACAACCTGTCCTCCTACAACCTGTCCTCCTACAACCTCTCCTCCTACAATCTGTCCTCCTACAACCTGTCCTCCTACAACCTGTCCTCCTACAACCTGTCCTCATACAATCTGTCCTCCTACAACCTGTCCTCCTACAGCCTGTCCTCCTACAGCCTGTCCTCCTACAGCCTGTCCTCCTACAACCTGTCCTCCTACAGCCAGTCCTCCTACAGCCTGTCCTCCTACAGCCTGTCCTCCTACAGCCTGTCCTCCTACAACCTCTCCTCCTACAATCTGTCCTCCTACAACCTCTCCTCCTACAACCTGTCCTCCTACAACCTGTCCTCCTACAACCTGTCCTCCTACAACCTCTCCTCCTACAATCTGTCCTCCTACAACCTGTCCTCCTACAACCTGTCCTCCTACAACCTGTCCTCATACAATCTGTCCTCCTACTGCCTGTCCTCCTACAATCTGTCCTACAGCCTGTCCTCCTACAATCTGTAATCCTACAGCCTTTCCTCATAAAGCCTGTCCTCCTACAGCCTGTCCTCCTACAACCTGTCCTCCTTCTTGCTGTCCTCATACAATCTGTCCTCCTACAGCCTGTCCTAATACAGTCTGTCCTCCTACAACCTGTCCTCCTACAACCTGTCCTTCTACAGCCTGTCCTCATACAACCTATCCTCCTACAACCTGTCCTCATATAACCTGTCCTCCTCCAACCTGTCCTCCTACAACCTGTCCTCCTACAGCCTGTCCTCCTACAACCTATCCTCCTACAATCTGTCCTCCTACTGCCTGTCCTCCTACAATCTGTCCTACAGCCTGTCCTCCTACAATCTGTAATCCTACAGCCTGTCCTCATAAAGCCTGTCCTCCTACAGCCTGTCCTCCTACAACCTGTCCTCCTTCTTGCTGTCCTCATACAATCTGTCCTCCTACAGCCTGTCCTAATACAGTCTGTCCTCCTACAACCTGTCCTCCTACAACCTGTCCTTCTACAGCCTGTCCTCATACAACCTATCCTCCTACAACCTGTCCTCATATAACCTGTCCTCCTCCAACCTGTCCTCCTACAACCTGTCCTCCTACAGCCTGTCCTCCTACAACCTATCCTCCTACAACCTGTCCTCCTACAACCTGTCCTCCTACAGCCTGTCCTCCTACAACCTGTCCTCCTACAACCTGTCCTCCTACAACCTGTCCTCCTACAACCTGTCTTCCTACAACCTGTCTTCCTATAACCTGTCCTCCTACAACCTGTCCTCCTACAACCTGTCCTCCAACAACCTGTCCTCCTACAACCTGTCCTCCTACAACCTGTCCTCCAACAACCTCTCCTCCTGCAACCTGTCCTCCTACAACCTCTCCTCCTGCAACCTGTCCTCCTACAGCCTGTCCTCCTACAACCTTTCCTCCTACAACCTGTCCTCCTACAACCTTTCCTCCTACAACTTGCTCTCCTACAACCTGTCCTCCTACAACCTGTCCTCCTACAACCTGTCCTCCTACAACCTGTCCTCCTACAACCTGTCCTCCTACAATCTGTCCTCCTACAATCTGTCCTCCTACAACCTGTCTTCCTACAACCTGTCCTCCAACAACCTGTCCTCTTGCAACCTCTCCTCCTGCAACCTGTCCTCCTACAATCTGTCCTCCTGCAACCTGTCCTCCTACAACCTGTCCTCCTACAACCTGTCCTCATACAGCCTGTCCTCCTACAACCTGTCCTCCTACAACCTGTCCTCATACAGCCTGTCCTCCTACAACCTGTCCTCCTACAACCTGTCCTCCTACAGCCTGTCCTCCTACAACCTGTCCTCCTGCAACCTGTCCTCCTGCAACCTGTCCTCTTGCAACCTCTCCTCCTGCAACCTGTCCTCCTACAACCTGTCCTCCTACAACCTGTCCTGCTACAACCTGTCTTCCTACAACCTGTCCTCCTGCAACCTGTCCTCTTGCAACCTCTCCTCCTGCAACCTGTCCTCCTACCACCTGTCCTCCTACAGCCTGTCCTCCTACAGCCTGTCCTCATACAACCTATCCTCCTACAACCTGTCCTCATATAACCTGCCCTCCTCCAACCTGTCCTCCTACAACCTGTCCTCCTACAGCCTGTCCTCCAACAACCTGTCCTCCTACAACTTGTCCTCTTGCAACCTGTCCTCCTACAACCTGTCCTCCTACAACCTGTCCTCCTACAACCTGTCCTCCTACAACCTGTCCTCCTACAACCTGTCCTCCTATAACCTGTCCTCCTATAACGAACGTCGCTTTTCGCTCCTATGCGTCACATACGGTCAAAAACTGTCGTACAAGAAAATGTAATCACCTCGCGAAATTGATGTACTTTCCCGTTTTCTGTTTTGGGTCCTCTGGCAGGTTAGGAGAGACCACTTTAAATTGACCGTTTTCTCGATGTTAGGGAAACCTTAGGAGAACGAACTGAATAAATAACAAATAACTGACAAAAGTAGAGTAGCCTTAAACCACACAATCTGACGCCTTAACGAAAAGAGGAGAAATTCTCTTTCTCGCGGAACAATGAGAGTGCTTCAGCTCGGGTGTTGGGGGGCTCGGAGTGCGTCTCGTCTTCGCATGCGTGGTGCATACTCTCCGCCAGCTCGGGTGTTGGGGGGCTCGGAGTGCGTCTCGTCTTCGCATGCGTGGTGCACTCTCCGCCAGCTCGGGTGTTGGGGGGCTCGGAGTGCGTCTCTTCTCCGCATGCGTGGTGCACTCTCCCGCCAGCTCGGGTGTTGGGGGGCTCGGAGTGCGTCTCGTCTTCGCATGCGTGGTGCACTGTCCCGCCAGCTCGGGTGTTGGGGGGGCTCGGAGTGCGTCTCGTCTTCGCATGCGTGGTGCACTCTCCGCCAGCTCGGGTGTTGGGGGGGCTCGGAGTGCGTCTCGTCTTCGCATGCGTGGTGCACTGTCCCGCCAGCTCGTGTGTTGGGGGGCTCGGAGTGCGTCTCGTCTTCGCATGCGTGGTGCACTCTCCGCCAGCTCGGGTTCTCGCGCCATCTCCCACATATGTAAACAAAGGCGTTTTATCCAACTTGGTGGAAATGTGAGGCAAAGCAGCACCTTCGCTGTTTATTTGCACGCGGCGTGTTGGAATGTTCGGGTTCGGGGTCGAATCCCAAGACGCTCGCTCTGGAAGGAGATTTTTCGAGTTGATATATTTAGGAAAGAAGATATTGTAGTTATATATTACTTTGTGATATTATTAATATAATTCAAACATCACGTTTTCTAATTGCTGCAATTATTGCATTATTTTTAAATATTCTAATATATTGATAATATAAATATTATATTATTATTTTTATTTAAAAATTGCATTGAATTATTATTATTTTTATTAGGAAAAATTAATTGGAGGAATGAGATGATTCGAACCAACGATCAAGGTAATCCAGTCCATCCTCCAAGCTCGTTAATCCAGCCGCCAAACCCCCAGTTTATGCCAACCCGTCCTCGACTCAAGACCATTCCATCCAGCGGTCGACCCCACAGACACATTCATACATGCTGTTCATTCAAAATAGGAATTTTCTCAAATATAAATTAATATTATAATATATTAGCATATTGTGCATATATAGGCATAGGTTAGGTTAGGTGTTTAGGTTCTGTTTTAGTCGTGTGGAAACTGTTTGGCATTTATAAACAGCGGAGGGGGGTTGGCGGGTGGATGGAATGGTCTTTCGGTCTATGGAGGACGGCTGTGTTCCTGAATGCAAAACGGTTTCCACACGACTCACAACTGCTGCCGTCCGAACACTTCCGGAACAAGTGCTTCACTGACGACTGGTGTTCGAACCCCAACGCTGTAAATGCTTCACCCACGTACTACAAATACCAATAATCACCAACAGAACCTAAACACCTAACCTAACCTAACCTAACCTAACCTAACCTAACCTAACCTAACCTAACCTATGCCTAACCTAACCTAACCTAACCTAACCTAACCGACGCCTAACTATACATATAATTTTTATGTAGAATAATATTAATTTACATATGAAAACAAACCAACTTTTAATAAACGGTATCTTTAAATTAATGAAAGCTTCTGGGGAGGCTGCCTAGTGTGAGGACGGCCGCTGCTTTAACCAGCCTAGTGTGAGGACGGCCGCTGCTTTAACCAGCCTAGTGTGAGGACGGCCGCTGCTTTAACCAGCCTAGTGTGAGGACGGCCGCTGCTTTAACCAGCCTAGTGTGAGGACGGCCGCTGCTTTAACCAGCCTAGTGTGAGGACGGCCGCTGCTTTAACCAGCCTAGTGTGAGGACGGCCGCTGCTTTAACCAGCCTAGTGTGAGGACGGCCGCTGCTTTAACCAGCCTACTGTAAGTACGGCCGCGGCTTTAACCAGCCTAGTGTGAGGATGGCCGCTGCTTTAACCAGCCTAGTGTGAGGACGGCCGCTGTTTTAACCAGCCTAGTGTGTGGACGAGTCGGGTAACCCCAGCCACACACCATACTGGCCTTATAGTAGGAGTCTTGTGGCACTAACTCATCATACAGTGTTATAATACTGGAGTAGAGCCCATGCACGGAATCTGGCACTGTGCCTGGCCGCCTCAACAGTGCCAAGCATAAAGTGTGAGGGACAGGATCTCTCAGGACACTGCCAATAG